TCGGTGCATTCCTTGGTCGTGAGGTAGTTGGCGGAATCCGATGCGAATGAGGCGAGCGTGTAGGTACTGTTGCCATAGCCGCGGAGCTTGCTTGATCCCGTAAAGTGATTTCAGCAGTTGACAGACTTGGTTAGGTTCCCCGTTAGTACCGTGTGGGAGCTCGACGAAGATTTCCACGTCGACAGGTGCGTAGAGGAACGCGTTGGCGACATCGATTTGCCGTAGCTTCCTTTTCTTCATGGCGGCGATCGCGAGGAGGATTCGAAGTGAGATATGTCGGCTAACCGGGGCGAATGTCTCGGTGAAGTCCCGTCCGTGCTCCTGATCGAATCCACGCACAACCCAGCGTGCTTTGAACTTCTCAATTGTGCCGTCTGCTTTTGTTTTAACGCGGAAGACCCATTTCCCGGTGAGAATGGTCTTGTTCCTTGCCACGCTGATGGGGACAACTTTCCAGGTGTTCCGTTCCTCCAGCGCCTTTAACTCTCTGTCCATGGCTTCACGCCATTTTTCCCTGTGTTCCCCCCCCAGAGCCTGCTGAACCGTCGCAGGCTCCTTAGGAAGAGTGTTGCCGTGGACTGCGGTGACGAGTCCGAGAATCTGCAGTCCAGTCTGTGAGTAGCGGGGAAGAGTTGCATCCTCGGGATAAGCTGCTTCATCTCCCGCTTCTGGATCAGGTATGAAATTCGGTCCTACTCGTTCTACTTCGTTGGTGTTGACTGTCGCAGGTGTTACGTAACCGTTGTCGGCGAAGTAGTAGAAGGTTTCGGCGTTGACACTTTCGCGAGGGTTATCTTCGTCCATGGGGACGTCGACGGAGCAGAACGGAAGGGGTCCAACTTCTTCTGATGCGTTGGCCACATTCTGCTCGTCCCAGTCAGCTTCGTCTGCTGCCGAGGCGAAGGCTCGGTCACCACGAAAACCACCTGTGGGATCTTGGTCCTCTTGCAGGTTGGCAAGGTATGTCTGGAGCGTGAGTCGTTCGTAGAAAATGACGTCGCGTGCTGCTACTGTTTCCTTGGAGTGGACGTCAAAGATTTTCCACGCGTTGTAGTTCTTTTCGATGCCGAGGTGTAGTCCCCACTGTGCGCGTTGTGAAAATCGGCCCGCTCGTGCTGCTGGGGGTCGGTACTGTACCATGCATCCGAACACTCGTAACATTTTTGTGCTGCCCTGTTTTCCTGTCCACAGCAGATGCGGTGATGCGTTGTTCAGTAGTGATGAAGATGAGAGCAAGTTGTGCAGCATGACAGCGTGGTCCATCGCGTCAGGCCACTGGTGGTTGGGTAGCCGCATGCCACGCAACAGTTTGCGCATGCTGTTCTGCAGAGTCCTGTTCATTCTTTCTGCTACACCTTGCTGCTGATGGGCGTAGGGAAGAGAGAGGAGCTGCTTGATTCCCCTTTCCGCCAGGTACTGCTTGAATCGCTGAGAGGTGTATTCTCCTCCTCCGTCAGACTGGAAGCTTTTCAGCTTTACGCCCGACTCTCTTTCTGCTACTGGTAGCCAAGCAGCGAATGCTTCGAGGACCATGTCGCGGCTGGGTAGGTTTAGATGCCAGACGTAACGGGTGGCGGCGTCGATGAAGGTGATTGTGTAGTTGTATATTACTTGTCCTGGTTCCCGATTGTACAGGATGTCGCTATACACCTTTTCGAGTGGTGCGTACGCGGGTGTGCTCGGGTTGTGATGAGGAGTGAACGGCCGATGTGGTAAGTCGGCTTCGGGGCAGGTAAGACATGTTCCTCGTGCCCGTTGAAGTTCTCTGCCGTCGAGTAGTAGTAACGAGTCCTTGTCAAGGACTCCTGCTCTTATTGTGTTGTTTAACACAGTGTTGCTTGGGTGTCCCATGCGTGCGTGCCAGATGTCTTCGGAGGCGCGGTGTCCGGGTGAGCGTCGATACGCGTCGGAGTTGGAGTAGAAGCTGGCGGTGAATTTTGCGCTTCTATGGACTTCCCGTTGAGCCGGATTCAGCTGCTGTGCGGGTGTTGGTGGTGCTTCGTCAACGAGGAGTGGTGTCGTTGTTGCTGCTACTGTTGTTGTTCCTGCTACTGCCGATGATGTCTCTGCTGCTGCCGATGATGTCTCTGCTGCTGCCGATGTTGTCTCTGTTGCTGCCGATGTTGTCTCTGCTGCTGCCGAATGTTGTATTGTTACTAACGCACGTGTTCGTTCTGCTTCAGGAATGGTATGTGAATACCAAAAGCCTTCCGGACTGAAGTCGGGGTCGAGATCCGGCGGGTGCGTCCAAGATGTGAAGGTGACGATCCCGTCACTGTCTGCGGTGCCCAGGTCTGGGACGAAATCGAGAACGAAGACATTGTTCTTCAGGACCGCTTTTCCGATGTAGAGGCCGCCCTTCCCGTGGTACAGCTTGAACTCCTGGGTGGTATTGTCGGCTTCCAGATGTATGCCTTTCGCCATCAACTGACTGACGCTCAGTAAGTTGTAGCCAAGTCCTTCTGCTATTAGGACTTTGGACATTTGCAGTATGACATTCGTCTCTCGTGACTGAAGTTGCACTACTCCTTGTCGTCGTGTGCGCAGGTTCTGATTATTGGCGACAGTGATGACGACTTCTCGTTGAAGTTGGTGCTCGCGTTGAACGAAACGTCCTGAAGAGCACATATGTTGTCCGCAGCAACTGTCCAAGAACCATGTATCCTTCCCGGACGGCTCGCTTTGAGCGATGGCGGCGTACGTCGGGTTCGGTTGAAGTGACTCGCGGCGAGGCGTGCTGTTGTCGAGTTGTTCTTCTGGTGAGTAATATGGTGGTGACTCAGTTACGCAGGAGTCACTCAGCCTTGCCATGCAGCTGACGATGTTTCTTGTTCCTTTCGCAGGTTGTCCCGTCGATGTTGTTGAGACTTGTACTGAAGTTGTCGGATTTGCTTGCGTTGAGGCGACTTGACTGCTTGAAGGGCGAAGTTGGCGTTGCGGCGACGTTGACTGTTGTCGATTCGGGCAGTGCGTACGAGGATGCCCTGAAGTCTTGCAGAGGTGGCAGAACGGAGGTACGATTTTCGGTCGATTGTTGTTGTTGTTGTGGCGCCGTTGAGTGTGAAACGCGAATTCGGGCACTGATACCTTTCTCTTGTGTCGTTCTTCTTGCATGTCCATGTCTTGCTGCTCGGCGTGGATTTCGGCGCAAAGTGCTGCTTCAGAAATTTTCCCGTGGGCTCGTAGCATGGCGCGAGTGGAGCGCCAGTGAGGACCAAGACCGCCGATGACAACCGTGACGAAGGCGTCCTCTGAAATCGATCCTCCACATCGAAGAAGCTTGTCGCGCAGCTCGCGGCAGCGACTGATATACGCCATTCCCTTCTCGCCTGGTTTCATTTCGATTGTTGTCAGCTGCGCCATTAACCGACTTTGGTTTACGCTGTCTGTTGCTTGATACAGGCTCTTCAAGTGATTGTACGCGAGCTCCGCGGAGTTGCCGTAGCCTCGGTAAGACCGTATGTTTTGTTGTTGAGTTGGAGTGATGTTCCTCAGTAGTATCGTGTACGCCATCATCGATTGATAGGTGTACTGCTACTGTGTGCCGTTTGTTGGGTATGGCAGGGACCCGTCGAAGAAGCCAAGGATTTGCGCTCCTTCCATCATCAGCTCGAATTCGAGCGACCAGGTAAAGAAATCCTTCCCGTCGAAGGGTTTTGTCGTTTGCAGTTTTAGAACGTGCGCGAACTGCGACTGAACTTGTAGTGCGTCCAGCGTTCTCTCTTGTCCCGGTGCAGGTTGTGGTTGTGGCATGAAGCTGACGGAGCCGCGCTGGGGCTCGTACGGAGCGAAGGTAGGTTGCTGTTGTTGATTCCCGCGTGCGTAGGATGAGCCATCGAGACTCATGGGCGTCACGTTGTTGTTGTTGTTGCTGTTGTTTGATTGCGCAGGTGCTCCTTGCTGATGCTGCTCGTAGAAGGACATGAAGGAGAAGAACTTCTCCATCATGCTTGGATCGAAGCCCGCGCCTTGGTTTGCGGGTGTTTCAGTAGACCCAGCTGCCGGTCTCGTTGTTGTGCCTTCCTCTGTCTGTAGGCCAGAGGCAGGAGGTGGAGTAGGAGTAGTACCAGGAGAGCCGTTGGAGGAGCTCCTCTCCTTTCTGGTAGACATGTCTCTTGGTGTATTAGGTGTTAAGGAGAAATAATTTTAACCCTAACCAGCTCTCATACCATGTTGGGCTGAGTGCCCCTTAGGATCTTTGGTAGGGTTAAACTCTGGGTAGAGTGATGTAGTAGCGGAAGCGTTTAAATGAAGTCCTTGAACCACCTTGCGCTGGTATGTGAGGGCAAAGTAAGTTGATTAAAACAAGCAAGTACAAAGGTTTATATAAGAGTACAAAGAATACGAAGAGATATAATTAAACTGTTTTACTGTTGCGGTTCGATACAGTGCGACTCGAGCAACTGCTCAATGTCGAGTCAGTTGTGTGTCCTTGCTATCGCGCTGCATTTGTCAAGTCAAAGGTCGCTGACCTTTGACTTTCGCGTAACCTCCAGCGGTTACTTCAACCTCCGAGGGTTGACTCGCTGGTGCCTCGATATGCTCTGCTTCGCTTGTGCCTTGGTGTTTCGACACGACAGAGGCGCTTAAGATTGTTTGTTCCCAACAAGATCATGCATTAACAGCAGGCAACAGTCCAAACCACAACCCCACCACCAGCAAAATCATAAGCAGCAGCAGCAGCAGGGCAGCTCACTCGTCAAGAGCCTCAATTGTAACCACATTACTGCCCTTGCCCGGACTTGTTACCACTGACCCTGATCCGCCACCTCCACTACCAACAGGCAGAACAGCAGTAGATGATGTGAGGATGGCCGAGGAGGAGGAGGAAGAGGAGGAGAGCAAGTGAGGGACGTCAGTTATGAAGAGGGCAACCATTACCACCAATATACCCTGTTAACGGGGGAAAGGGAACGAGTTGATTGTGGAATGGGGACGAGGGAAGTAAGAAAGGTTGTGGAGATCAGGAGGTTGCAACGAGAAAGTGAGGGCCACCAGTTATGAAGAGGGAACGCGGCCACCATTTTCCCCTGAAGAAGGGCAATGGGTGGGAGATAGCAACACCCTGAAGAAAGGGGGACCGTGGAGAGGGGAGGGGTAGGGTGTGGAAAGGGGTAGTGTGTGGCGAGAAAGTCAGGGATGCCATTTATGAGGCAAGAGCATCAGCGTCACAATGCCTTGAAGAAGGGGTAGCGATGATGATGATGATGAGGAGGAGGAGGAGGAGGAGGAGGAGGAGGAGGAGGAGGAGGAGGAGGAGGAGGAGGAGGAGGAGGAGGAGGAGGAGGAGGAGGAGGAGGAGGAGGAGGAGGAGGAGGAGGAGGACGCGGAAAAGCGAGGGACCCCGATCATGAGGGGAGAGACACCATCACCACCTTTATACCCCGAGGAGGGAAGGGGGGAGGGGGATGATCGCCACCTTATGCCCTGAAAGCGGGGGGGGGAGAAGCGGCTGTGTATCATGAGAGGGTGGACGAAGAAGACGAGGAGGAGAAGGAGGAGGAGGAAGAGGAGGAGGATAGGAGGAGGGGGAGGAGGAAGAGGATGAGGAGAGGAGGAGGGGGAGGAGGAAGAGGAGGAGGAGCGAGAATGAAGGAGGAGGAGCGAGAATGAATGAGGAGGAGCGAGAATGAAGGAGGAGGAGCGAGAATGAAAGAGGAGGAGCGATAATGAAGGAGGAGGAGCGAGAATGAAGGAGAAGGAGCGAGAATGAAGGAGGAGGAGCGAGAATGAAGGAGGAGCGAGAATGAAGGAGGAGGAGCGAGAATGAAGGAGGAGGAGCGAGAATGGGGGCTTATAATGGTAGGGGTGATGATGCGAGCTGGGTGATGACGATCATGCCTACCATGCCCGTCAAGACCTTAAGCACTTTTCAGAGCAGTGCAAAGGGGTCCAGAGTCCAAAGCATCCACAGTTTCTCTGGGTGCTGACGATCATCCCTACAATGCCAGTCAAGACGTGGCCCAGAGTGGTGTGGAGGACCAGAGTCCAATGGACCCATACATTCTCTAGGAACACCCCCCTATCAGATCTCACCACGCTTACAGGGCTGAGAAGGCACCCCTCATCATGCTTACCACGCCCGTCAGGATTTGAGGCACTTTCCAGAGCGGTGCAAAGGGGTCCAGAGGGAAGAGCAGGAGGATTATGATAACCTGCAAGGGGAAAGAGGGACAGAAGCAGGCAGAGGAACTCCTGAGCCTTGTCACAGATTGTGATGATTCGCGAAGAGAAATTCCTGAGACTTGTCAGGACTCGAGGAGCAAATTTGCAAGGAGATTGTGACGATTCGCCGAGTCATTGATTGGAATGGCAAGGAGGGTGAGAGGGAGGCGTGGAAGCAGAGGGTCAGCCCTTCCCCTTCACACGAGAGAGGAGAGCTGTTGGACTTACCCGTGAGACAAGAGAGGAGAGCTGGTGGACTTACCCGTGAGACAAGAGAGGAGAGCTGGTGGACTTACCCGTGAGACAAGAGAGGAGAGCTGGTGGACTTACCCGTGAGACAAGAGAGGAGACGAGCCCGCCCGAGACTCTTAGCAGCAGTGCTGTGAGGAAGGCTGCCAAAGCTGATGGCTGCAGTGGGAGAGGAAGGGCGGGAGGGCGGGAGGACGGAAGGGATGGAGGGATGGAGGGAGGGTGAAACGACGATGGGAGGGTGCACGGATGGAGGGAGGGTGAAAGGGTGGGGGGAGGGTGAATGGACGAGGGAGGGTGAATGGACGAGGGAGGGTGAAGGGAGGAGGGAGGGTGAGAGGATGGAGAGACACAGCAGGCCACAGAGGCGAGAACCAGTTAGAGCAGGCAGTGCGGGCAGTCAGGCACGAAGCCAAATGCGCAGACCATACCCGCAGGCCACACACTTGTCGTTGACCGAATTGGCAAGGGCAGATTACACACCCGCAGAGCTTTACTGAAGGAGGGAGCAGCACGGAGGGAGCAGCACGGAGGGAGCAGCACGGAGGGAGCAGCACGTACCACAGAGGCGAGCACCAGGTAGAGCAGGCACTGCGGGCAGTCAAAGACGAAGCCAAAGGCGCGGTCGAAGTGATCGCTGAAGGCAAACGCTGGCATATGGGGGGGAAGAAGCATGGGAAGGGGTCAGGGTGAGGGAAATGGAAAAAGAGTGTTCAGAAGGGCTGGTGAATTCTGGCTCAAGGGGTTGGTGGATGGGGAGTTGGCGTATGTGGGTTGAATTGGAGGGTCAGGTTGGGGGAAACAGAGGAAGAGTTGTGAGAAGATGACCGACGAGAAGGGAACGTTGGGGAGAAAAGTTGGGAAGGCGAAAGGAGAACGGGAGGATGATGGGTGCAGATTGACGGAAAGTCTGATCGAAAACAAAGGTGGTTCACGCAACAGAAACACGGGGGTACTTACCCCAGAAGTCGACAAACAAGGCGGACGTGGATACGTAGAGCACCAGGGAGGTGACCGGCAGGTCGTATTGAGTCGACTCAACACACATTCTACGCAACCAAGGAAAGGGGGCTACGTGCTTACCCCAGAAGTCAACAAACAAGGCGGATGTGGACACGTAGAGCACCAGAGACGTGACAGGCAGGTCGTACTGTAGGTAGACTCGCTCTTGCAGCGCCACTGCTAGGCCGTCAGAGCTGCAAGACGGGAAGAGAGTGATGTGAAGGGTGGGGGAAAGGGGAGCAAAAGGCAGATGTGGACACGTAGAGCATCAGTGATGTGACAGGCAGGTCGTACTGTAGGTAGACTCTCTCTGGCAGCGCCACTGCTAGGCCGTCAGAGCTGGGGAGAGAGCGTGTGTGGTTTGACAGAGAAAAGAGAGAGCTGTGACAGAGTGGACAGGGTATGCATAAGGGGTGGCACCTGTGGCTGCAGGTGACTGGTAGGTCCAACAGGTGATAGACGTTCTTGCAGGGCGACTGCTAGGCCGTCAGAGCTGCAGGTGAGGGAGCCGGGCAGGATGTAAGAAGAATGGGAGTGCAGAGTGGGGGTCGTAGGGCAGGCAGAAGCACTCTTGCAGGGTCGCTGCTGGGCCATCCATGCTCCTTACCCGTGCCCATTTCCTGATTTTTGAGTCGACAAAAAAAATGGCACTTGCAGGGCCGCTGCTGGGCCTTCGGCGCTAGAAAGACAGACAGGTCGCTCTGGCAGGTTTAGGGTTTAGGGTTTGGGGTTTAGTCCCTAAACCCCAGCGCAGACAGACGCACCCTTGCAGGCCCACTGATAAGTCATCCGCGCTGCAGAGGTAGTGACGGATGGCAGGGAATGGGCACGGGTAAGGTGCCGACGAGGACGTGACAGATAGACAGGTTGTTCTGCAGGTTGACGTGGCACGTGGCACTTGGCACGCGGCCAGGGGTAGAAAGAGGCGTGGCGGCGAATGCCAAAGATGGGAACACCGGCACAGCTAGCGGCTATGTTGATGTTACGTTTGAGAATTGTCAAAAGTAACATCAACACTTGGCAAGCGGCCAGGGGTGGGTAGAGAGGCGTGGTGGCGAATGCCAAAGTTGGCAACACCAGCACAGCTAGCGGCTTCTGCTAGCAGGTCGGCATGGTTCAGAGTCGCACGCACCAGAAGAGGAGAGATGCAAAGATGGGCACGGCAAGCGGGCCGATCCACCACCAGTAGCGCACGCCCATGCTGGCAGGCAGGCTGCCATGTTTGAAGAGGCATCAACACCAATAGCGGCAGCACGTACCAGAATAAGAGGAATGTGAATATGGGCACGGCTAGTGGTCCAGTCCACCACCAGTAGCGCACGCCCATGCTGGCAGGCGGCCAGAGGTAGAGCGGCGTGGCAGAGGGCAGCAGCACCCGCGCTGCTTCAGAGGCCGGGGGGAACCAGAGCTGGTGGGGGGAAGGGAGGGGAGGGCAGGGCCGGGAAGGGGAGGGGTGAGGCCGACGGGAGATACATGGTATCCAGAGATAGAGCGGTGTGGCCATGGTCATGGACCATGATGGCATGGGCCATGATGGCATGGGCCATGATGGCATGGGTCACCATGGCGTAGATATAATGATGAAGGCAATGTGAGAGAGGGTGGGCCCTGTTACACAAAAGAATCACATGAAGCCCACGGCAGGGTGGGCTGAGTCACAAGAATCACAAGGGTCCAGCAGGGCAGCCAGTGCACTCGCCGCCACACTGCTGCCATTGGGGTCACTCCCTCACTCACTCCCTACCTCACTCGCCACCTCACTCCCTCACTTCCTCCCTCACTCACTTACTCACTCACTCCCTCCTGCACAGCGACAAAGCAGCTGTAAGTCAGCAAGCACGCGAGCAGACACCCCAACAGCCGCAACCAGTGCACTCGACGCCACACCACCGCTGCCACTAGGGTCACTCCCTCACTCCTTCGCTCCCTCACTCCCTCACACCCACCCAGCAGCTGTAGGCGACCAGGCACGCGAGCATACAGCCCAGAAGGCGCAGCGAGTGCACTCGCCGCCACACCACCGCTGCCACGGGGGAGGAGCCGCTACAGGAGCCCACCAGCATGGGCGCCCCACTCAGTACCGACTGCCAGAGCTGCAGGGAAAAACAGTGTGCAAGAGAGATAAGAGAATAGAAGAAAGGGGAGAAGCTGAAGATGAGGAGTGCACCCCGGGCCATGCCACCGCTGCCACGGGGGAGGAGCCGCTACAGGAGCCCACGAGCATGGGCGCCCCACTCAGTATTGACTGCCAGAGCTGCAGGGCGGAAGCGAGGGGGATGTGAGGTTGAGGTTCACTTGTCAAAGTGTTGCGAGGTGGGAGTCAAAGTGTTGCGAGGTGGGAGTGCACCCCATGCGAGGTGGGAGTGCACCCCATGCGAGGTGGGAGTGCACCCCATGCGAGGTGGGAGTGCACCCCATGCGAGGTGGGAGTGCACCCCATGCGAGGTGGGAGTGCACCCCATGCGAGGTGGGAGTGCACCCCATGCGAGGTGGGAGTGCACCCCATGCGAGGTGGGAGTGCACCCCATGCGAGGTGGGAGTGCACCCCATGCGAGGTGGGAGTGCACCCCATGCGAGGTGGGAGTGCACCCCATGCGAGGTGGGAGTGCACCCCATGCGAGGTGGGAGTGCACCCCATGCGAGGTGGGAGTGCACCCCATGCGAGGTGGGAGTGCACCCCATGCGAGGTGGGAGTGCACCCCATGCGAGGTGGGAGTGCACCCCATGCGAGGTGGGACGGTTTCAGATCAATGCCCAAAAAATGATCATTTTTTACGGTGAGGAGACGGTGAGGTGAATAGAAGCGGTGTGCAGAGCGCTCAGTGGGAGAGGAATGGGCGTACGAGCAGTGACAGAGAGCACACGGCGTAGTAGACCACGCGGGTATTGAAACGTCTCAAAGCAAAGACAGATGGGCTTGCACGAGTGGGAGAGGAATTGGCTTACGAGCACTGACAGAGAGCACAGGCCATAGACCATGCAGGTTGCTTCTGAGTCGACTCAAACGCCGGGGTGCATGAGAGGAAGAGGATGGGGGCTTACAAGCAGTGAGAGCGTGCACAGGGCATGGACCATGCATGTTGCTTTTCAGTTGACGAGTGGGAGGGAAGGGGAATGGGTTTATACAAGAGGGAGAGGAAGGGGCTTATACAAGAGGGAGAGGAAAGGGCTTATACGAGAGGGAGAGGAAGGGGCTTATACGAGAGGGAGAGGAAAGGGCTTACAAGCAGTGAGAGCGTGCACAGGGCATAGACCATGCACGTGGCTCCAATGCCAATGCGCCCGTTCAACTGCCATTTGCGGTGCAACATGCATGGGGGGGGGCAGGGGGAGTGGTGGGGAGGGGGGGCTGAAAAGCATGAATGGGTTGTTTGACATGAGTAGACCATGCAGGTGGCTCCAATGCCAATGCGCCCGTTCAACTGCCATGGGATGTTCAACATGCATGGGGGGGAAGGAGGCGGAGCGGAGGGAAGGCTGAAAAACATGTATGGGTGGTTTGACATGCACGCGGGTGGTTTGACATGCACGTGGGTGGTTTGACATGCATGTGTGGGTGGTTTGAACATGCATGTGTGGGTGGTTTGAACATGCATGTAAGAGTGGTTTGACATGCATGCGTGGGTGGTTTGAATACGGATGGTTACCTACTCCCACCCACTCATGCACCCATGTATTATTTCCAATCCATGTATTATTTCCAATCCATGTATTATTTCCAATCCATGTATTATTTCCAATCCATGTATTATTTCCAATCCATGTATTATTTCCAATCCATGTATTATTTCCAATCCATGTATTATTTCCAATCCATGTATTATTTCCAATCCATGTATTATTTCCAATCCATGTATTATTTCCAATCCATGTATTATTTCCAATCCATGTATTATTTCCAACCGCGCTGTACCCGTTGGCTGAATATAGTTTTTGGAACCGCACTGAACTGCTCGGATACACCTCTTTCGCCCATACTGTGCCTTCCCCAACCGCACTCCACCCCTCTGATGCACGCTGTTGTAATGGCATTGGCAGCACACCAGCCACGTAACACCTCCGCGTACCTCTCTTACTCACCTCTCTCAACCGCACTGTACCTCTCTGATACATACTGTGATGATGGTGATGGCAGCACAGCAGCGATGCATCCCCTCCATCCACCTCTCTCAGATACACAACCCTTTCCCACCTCTTTTGATCTCACTGCAACTCTGATTTATCTCTCTCAACCGCACTGCACCTCTCTAATGCACACTGCTGTGATGGCAGTGGCAGCACAGCAGCTATGCATCCCCTCCACCCTACTGCACCTCCATGATCCACCCCTCTCAACCGTACAGCACTTCTCTGATCCACCTCTTTCAACCGCACTATGCCTCTCTGATCCATCACTCTCAACCGCACTGTACTCCCTCATGCACACCTCTCAAAACGCAGCACCTCTCTTACTTACCTCTCTCAACCGCACTGCACCTCTCGAATCCGCCTCTTAACTGCATCATACCTCTCTTATGCACACTGCAGTGATGGTGATGGCAGCACCAGCGCCAGCAAAGGAATAGACGGGCACTGGCGACAGTATGGGGCGACCCAGAAGCTGCTTGGGGAGGGGAGAACGGGGGGATGCACCCAGGAACTGATGGGATGGGCGGCAGTAAGGGGAGGAAATGCTGTGCACATGCACATAAACATGCACATGCACGTGTGCACATGCACATGCACATGCACATGCATATGCACATGCACATGCCCATGCACATGCACATGCATATGCACATGCACATGCACATACTCATACCAGCATGCACATGCCAGCATGCTTAATCTTGCAATCACAACCAGCACGCTACTTCTCCCCCTCACCCACCTTTATGGCAATGAGTGCAAGCACGGCTGTGACTCCGCTCTGATACCAGCGAGCCACCTCGGCTGTGCCAACACACACACACACACACACACACACACACACACACACACACACACACACACTCCTACTCACCAATCCACCTTGGTGGCCATGAGTGCCAGCACGGCCGTGACCCCGCTGGCATACCAACGAGCCACCTCGGATAGGAACAGAGGGGAGAAGACTCACATACATACGTGCACATGGAGATGCACATGCCGGTACACTTAGCCATGCACTCTCAAACACACCCACTCCAACCCACCTTAGTGGCCACGAGTGCCAGCACGGCCGTGACTCCGCTCGCATACCAACGAGCCACCTCGGAGTAGAGGGGGAAGTTGGCAGTGTCTGACCCAAACGATGCAGTGGGGCCGATCAGCAGCTGAGGGGGAGAAAGAGGGGTGGATGGGAGAGAGAGGGGTGGATGGGAGAGAGAGGGGTGGTGAGAAAGTGAAGCAGGCCTGGACCTGAGAAGCCACCTCGGAGTAGAGAGGGAAGTTGGCGGTGTCTGACCCAAACGATGCAGTGGGGCCGATCAGCAGCTGAGGGGGGAAGAAGGGAAAAGAAGAGAGGGAGTGGAGGGCAGGGAGAGGGTTGTTGAAGGTGTTTCAAAGGCGAGCCACCTCGGAGTAGAGAGGGAAGTTGGCAGTGTTGGATCTAAAGCATGCTGTGGGGCCGATTAGAAGATGAAAGGGGAAAAGAGTAAGGCAAGAGATAGTGGAGGGTGGGAAGAGGGTCGGTATCAGGTGATCAAAGGGAGGGAAGTTGGTGGTATCAGATCCGAAGGATGCAGTGGGGGGTGATCAGAAGCTGAGGTGGAGAGGGAAGGAAAGGGAGAAGGGGAAGATCGGAAAAGAAAGCAGGGATTTGGAGGGAGGGAGAGGAGGGGAGGAGGGAGAGAGGAGGGGAGAGAGAGAGGGGGGGAGGTGGCAGGGAGGTAGGGTCGAAACAAGCCACAAGGGAGGAGTTGGGGGCGTATGGGAAGGGGATGGACCAGTAAGAAGCTGAAGGGGAGAAGAAAACGGAGGAGGGGTGAGAAGTGAGGATACGAGACGTCCGAACATCACCAGGACTGTAACATACAGTAACACGCGCATTTGCACGCAATGGCACATACAGGAACAGATTCCATGTAGGATACTATCACATTCTCCCCTCCCTCCTCACCCCCCCAACCCCTCGGCCTTCAACCGCTCCGTATAATCTCGTTAGAGACACAAACCGTTTGCAGCCACACGGCAAGGGCCTTGGAGACCATGATAGCGACAGCCAAGCCTGCGACCAGCCAGCGAATTCCGCCACTGCTCGCCCACACCAGCAGCGACTCCCATCGTCGGGTTACCAGCACGGCGAAACCGCACCCATTGCTCGTCTTCCACCGATCGCTATCCGAAAATGTTAGTGGTAACCCGCTTTTCCCGCCATCGGGTCCACCTTGGGAATGCCGACCTCTCCCTATCCCGAACACGGCTGCTGTCGCACCGCGACCCCATGCGACCATGGGTGCGACAATTCCAAAACGTTTTCTATCCTTGGCGAAGCTCGCAAACCAAGCCTTCTGGTTACACAAATTCGCGACAAATGCAGTCGGCGGGGTGGATTTATCGAGGTTATCGCGGCTTCCCACCCGACGAATCACTCCAAAAGACCCGGCCTTGGAAGCCTTGTCGTAACTGGGAGTTGGATTCGATTGTTGAATATGACCTTGTAACGAACGTGATTGTATTGAATGGCCGGCGGGTGTGGTCGAAGAACGAGCACTGCCTGATCCGTTCTCGCCGATTACTCTAACGAAAGGCGAGTCGACTAGGGTCGCCCAGCCGTTAGACCTACCGGCAACGTCCTTCGAGCCGTCATGAAAACCCATGCGGCCATTCCTAACTTGGCACAAATCCGGTCGTTCTAGCGAGGATTGATTGCATGACGACTGAAGCACCAAATGCTCACATGGAACAAATGTTGGACTGTGACAACCTAACGGCGTGTCTCTTGCACACACTGTTGGTGAATCGAAAACAGAGGCTAAGCGCTTTCGCTTTTTTTGGAACAAAGTCGTAGCGGCTACGCTTTTGTAGCGAACTAGCTTCTGGAGGAGCACACGGCTAGACTCTGCTCAGGAAACACAGTCAGACTCCTATCTCCGAGGATGTATGTAACTGTAAGACGAGGAGATTCTAGGGGATGATTTTGTGTGATAGCAGCGGATGTGCTTGATCGGTGTTTTGGTGTTGTTCTGACGCCCCCTGAAACATTCGAACGCGCGAAAGTTTTCACGTCTCACGCATGTTTCAGGTTACGCGAGAAGTCACGTCGCTTTGATTGTGAAGAAGGACCCCCACGAAATCCCCCATCGCGACGTTCCTTTTCGTCAATTCGCCAGAACGAACCACGTCAACGCTCTCCCACCAACCTCTCGCCTGACCCCAACGCGGACGAAGTGTATTACTTGAAGCAAGAGTGCCAATCGCAACAATCAGGATGCTACCAGCTACCACCGCAGTATACCGGACTCTATTGGGTCCTTCCCGTCCATCTCCACGTCGGGAAAATCGGTCCTCCTTTTCCTTTGTTCTCCCATTCCCTTCACTCATCTAGCTTCGGTTTCTTGCTCTCTAGTTGGGCCTCCGATTTAGCCGCTTCTTCATCGAGCCTAGTTTCCTCGAATTTCGCTTTCTATTGAGCAGGAACGGCCGTCAGTAGATTTACTCAGCGGAGCATTGAATACGTGTTCTATTCTTTCATGTGTCCAGCATATTGAGTTTAGGCTGATCGGTTTTGAGTGTTTCCCCTCACCTCGAGTTTTGCAATAATATTACTGCTTCGCAATCTCCCTCGCGTTTCGCCTCTAACCTCGCCGCCATGTTCGTAACCGTTCGCAATGGCCCTGACAACGCGCCACAGCCGATGGCAGTTCCACTCTCTCACTTCTCTGCACCACCAGGCATGGCAGTCGCACAACACGGCCCCGAACGTCGCGTCGTTGTCGCACAGCCTCCCTTCGCCACGCAAGCCGCGTATGCAAACCCTAACGACACGACGAAAACTCTTGACGAACGGTTTCGCGCTCTATCCGCCCAGCGCAGTCAAAGCGTCCGTCGCGCGGAGGCAAAAGCGCGCCAAGCCGAAGCACGGCAATCGGCTCTAGCTGCGCAGCGGAAAGTATCTTCCGCCGCCTCTCCTTCCGCTCCCCCGTCCGCTTCCGCGCGTGCAGGCGGAAACCAAACAGGGGGAGGCGGGAGCACCCGCCCCAGCAGCACTGCAGCGAACGGATCTAAATCGAGGAGCAAACCCGCAGCTGCCACGTCATCGGCGAAAAAGCCCGCCGCGGCCGCAGCGGCACCAGCAACCCCGCCCATACAGTCGCGTCTCATCTTTCCCGGCGGGGCTGGCTCCGCGAAGGGGAAGGCGGGAGCTGCGGCGGGTGCAACTGGTGCAGGCTCGGTCCACTCTCGCTTGACGTTTCCTGGTAACCAGGGGGTTCAGGTCCCGCCGAACCTGCGCTTTGCCGTGGGGTCCGGGGGCGCAGTTGCGGGGAGGGGGAGGGGTGCGCGCGGGCGGGGAGCAGCGGGAGTTGGCAGGGGGGGAATTGTTGCGGGAAGGCGTGGGGGTGCGGCTGTTTCGGCGGCGGGTGTAAGGACGCGCGCTGCTGCTGCGAGGACTGCGTTTGGGGCGACCATGTTCGGATTGGGACCTAGAGGTGCGGGGAGGCCTGGTACAGTAACCAGAGCGCAGACTGCTGCAAGAGGGGGGGCGAGGGGAGGCGGAAGAGGGGCGGGGCGAGGGAGGGGAGGTAGGGGTGGACGTGGTGAAGGGAAGGTGTCGGAAGTGGATTTGGATAAGGACTTGGATCAGTACATGCAGCAGGGGTACGAGCAGTGAAAGGGGCTTTAACTTCGGATAAAGATGTGGGTCAGTACATTTGCCAGGAATACGAGCAGTATCAGGGTGCTGGGCAGTGATGGGGGCGTTTCAGATAGTTGATGAAGCCATGGCACTTAAAATCAGATGGATGTGGGTGGACTGACCAGCGAGTGGTGTGTGCTGGATTCTGTAGTTCCTGACGGAAGCTTTATCTTCACCTGGGCCCCATTCGCATCGGTTTGGCAGACTAGTCTATTTGATGATGCGTTGTGGCTTGGTGGAGAGAATTGTGTGTGTGATGGGGCCATTAATCCCTACAACGGATATAGATAATGATTTAGATTATGGGTTTGTTTACCAGCTGTAATAGTGTTTCGAATCGTTATAACGATCACGAAACTCCCTTTTTCAGTCTACCCCCCAACGGTCCCTTGCCCCTTGCCTCCGTGGAACCAAGAAAGTTCGAGTCATGAGTGGCCACGTGTTCGCGTTTCGCCAACATCTCTGCACTTTCGACCTGACCAGTAACCAAATTCGCATCTAGCATTTTGCGTCAACCTCTTTGTAAAAGCAACCAGAGTTTCGCGCTTACATAAGTGAACGTGCTGGATAATTGTTGGTGTGAGCTGTGCAAGTGCTGCGCTGTGCGGCCAACAAGACATGAACAGCAGCAGGTACCGTTGGGTGTGCCAAATGAGCAAACTGTTTTACTTGGTTAAGAGCTTTAATCTACGGTTTATTATTCCGTTAAAACGGTGGGGAAAGGTTTCAAGGAAAGATAGTGACAGACATCTCCCCATTTCTATGTCAGGAATCGGATTCGAGGTTCCAATGCAGCAGGTGAGCACAAACCTCCAGTTTCTTTCTCCGGCATTGTCTTTTCTTGCTCATTCTTAGCTTCTACGACCTTCAATTACATGCCCATCAACGTGGAAAAACTGTCTCAGCCTAGTACCGAATCTGACGTTCATAATTAGCCACCTAATTAGAAAGGCCTTGTAGCTCGTTAACACCTTCTCTCGATCGCCTCCGGCAACACTTTCGAAATATCGTTCATCTATTACGTATACCTAAAGCGAACGTGCAGGAGGAGCCTCCTGAGCATGTCGACCGACGCTGCTGCCGCGAAGCCGGACGAGGTGACCGTTGGGACCACGGCCGGAGACGAGAGCGCGCCGCTGAAGAAATCGCGGAAGATTCTCGTAGCGGTGGACCCGAGCGACGAGAGCTCGTACGCGTTAAAGTGGGCTCTCGAGAATGTGATACAATCGGAGGACAAGGTTCACCTGCTACACGCGCAGCCGTACCCGAAAGTTTACGCGGGACCCGCGGGTCCAGGTAAGAAGACCTTATTTCTGCCTGGCGATACCTTTGGAAAGTGGAGGAGGGGGATTGGGAGCTGTCTCACTTGCAGATGAAGCTGAGATTCTCTCACGTGCGACGCACATGGGTCAGAATTGCACAGCAGAACGATTGCTGAAGGTTAAAATTGCAGAGAGAGGAGATTGTTGATGTTTTAAATCAGCAAAGGGAGATGGTTCCAGAGGATTATACTTGCCACGAGAGGCGTCTCCTACGGGTTAGAATTGCTGAGGGAGCATATGTAATGTTACCGTGGTGGAATGAAGCAGAACCTGTCTTCGTGGAGTGATGTTTTTTTGCAAGAATCTAATCCAGCCCGGTTTAGGTCCCCTTCGGGGTTCTACGTGCCAGGCTTGGTTCCTCGTGTGTTTCAAACCTGGCAGTCTCTGGAAGACGGCACGCCCGTTGTGCATAAGCAACTCATTACACCTCCCAGCCGTGTCGGGTTTCGCTGCAGGTTCAATCATGCGAAACAAGCCTTTTGAATCTTTGAAGGGTAACTCACCAATGCCCCCTTAGCCCGCTTTGGTTCCGCTGGTGCAGGGTTCTACGTGCCGCCGGAGGTGGTCGAGACGATGAAGAAGCAGGAGGAGGCTGTCAGCCGCCAGGTGCTGTGCGCCGCTTGACTCTAGTAGCTACACGCCTCTTGTCTCCAGTGGCTTGTCCCTCACCAATCCCCCCCCAGCCCGGTTTGGTGCTGCTGGTGCAGGGTTCTACGTGCCGCCGGAGGTGGTGGAGACGATGAAGAAGCAGGAGGAGGCCGTCAGTCGGCAGGTGCTGCGCGCTGCCAAGGCCATGTGCGAGCAGTTCAAGGTGCGAAAGGGGGAAAAGGGGAGGGGGGAAGGGGGGTGGAAGGGGGTGGAAGGGGGTGGAAGGGGGGGAAGAGGAGGGGAGAAGGAAGTGAAATGCAAAGAATGAGAGAAAGAGAACAGCTTATAGCAGAGGAGACTAAAGTTTTACTGTGACCAGCTGAGGCCAGGGAGAGGTGCAGCATTCATGCCTCCCAGTGAATCTCCATCCCTCCCCATCCCTCTC